AAAAAAAACAAAAAAAAAAAAAAAAACCACCCTTTTCCAGCCCTTGGTACCAAATATCTATCTACGTACAGAACAGCTGTCAAAGTAATCATGTGAACTAAACAGTGGCGCAAAATAATTTGCGGAGCGAGGCCAGCAGCCATTTTAGATTAGGAGACGCCTATTTCTAACGACGAAAAAAAGATTGGAGGGAGGGGGGGGGAGGGGGTGTTGTACCAACTTTTTATTAACTTCATATAAACTATATATGTCTATGCGCATATTTATTAACTATCAGAGGCGCCGCCTTTGGCTTTTATTGACTCTCATTTGATTTAATAGCAGTGTTTTATGATTTGTTTGAAGCGGTGGCGAATTTTAATTTTCATTCGCCACAACTCTGGCTATTTTGAGAAAAGGGTTGCCCACCTTGGTCTGGGGAGGATAACTCAATAGCGGTACGTATCACAACTTTCAGACGTCAAGTAAATTGAACACTCGCCACAGTGTTCTCAGGTAATGAACAAAGCTGTCTTACGCACCGCTCACAGGAAGGACGTTCATTTTGTGTGCATCAATCAAAACTTACGTGAAACGATCAGTGAACTTCCTCGCCGCAGCGCAAAAATCATGATTTTATTTTACAACTCATATAATGATATAAGGAAGAACACGAATGTAGATCTCATGATCCAGGCTTTTCCCCCATGGCACGACATGAGTTTCTTACACGCTATACTATCTCAGGAAACACAGCTATCAAAAAAACAGATCACAAATCCGTCATTCTAGTTTACCGACATCTCCCCACTTATGAAACACTGCATCCAATTACTGCAACAAGGATATGCTTATCTGCGGAATTAAATTGAGCCCCGGTTAAAAGGGACCGGTTTTGTTGAACGAGTGGGGGGGGGGGGGGGGGGGACTGGGCTAAGTGTTTAAAGAAAATGTGTTTATTGTTGTCACTTACCAATATTGTTAACTAGGCATTTTAGATGCATGTACCAGCAACATAGTTGGTAGAAGAGTGGGGCAACATAGCTGGTAGAAGAGTGGGGCAACATAGTTGGTTGAAGAGTGGGGGGCGACATAGCTGGTTTAAGAGTAGGGTGGCATAGCTGGTGGAAGAGTGGGGCAGCATTGCTGGTAGAAGAGTGGGGCAACAAAAGCTGGTAGAAGAGTGGGGCAACATAGTTGGTTGAAGAGTGGGGAAACAGCTGGTAGAAGAGTGGGTCAACATAGCAGGTTAAAGAGTGGGGCAACATAGCTGGTAGAAGTGTGGGACAACTAAGCTTGTAGAATAGTGGGGCAACAAAGCTGATAAAAGAGAGGGGAAAATAGCTGGTAGGAGTGTGGGGCAACATAGCTGGTAGGAGTGTGCGGCAACATAGCTGGTAGGAGTGTGGGGCAACATAGCTGGTAGGAGTGTGGGGCAATATAGCTGGTAGGAGTGTGGGGCAACATAGCTGTTATTTGGTGTTTCGATTTATACTATATTTTTTAACAACTACCTTAATAATTTTTTAAAATGTATATTATTTCAGGGGTGTCCGGTCTTTTATACAAATAAACACATGTCTAAAAACCTAATATATTTTTGTTAAATAGGCAGCCAATCAGGAAGTGAGTTTGCTTAGGGCAGAGCTTGCTTCAACCAATAAGAGATTGAGTCAAATTGGGGATCAAGACGGAATGGGCAAGGTGGATAAAGCAACCCAAGTTGATAAGAGTTTAACTCGAGGTGTGTTAAACTTTATGTGCAATCCTAATGTTACACTTTATGTACAATCCTAATGTTACACTTTATGTACAATCCTAATGTTACACTTTATGTGCAATCCTAATGTTACACTTTATGTACAATCCTAATGTTACACTTTATGTGCAATCCTAATGTTACACTTTATGTACAATCCTAATGTTACACTTTATGTACAATCCTAATGTTACACTTTATGTACAATCCTAATGTTACACTTTATGTGCAATCCTAATGTTACACTTTATGTACAATCCTAATGTTACACTTTATGTGCAATCCTAATGTTACACTTTATGTGCAATCCTAATGTTACACTTTATGTACAATCCTAATGTTACACTTTATGTGCAATCCTAATGTTACACTTTATGTACAATCCTAATGTTACACTTTATGTACAATCCTAATGTTACACTTTATGTACAATCCTAATGTTACACTTTATGTGCAATCCTAATGTTACACTTTATGTACAATCCTAATGTTACACTTTATGTACAATCCTAATGTTACACTTTATGTGCAATCCTAATGTTACACTTTATGTGCAATCCTAATGTTACACTTTATGTGCAATCCTAATGTTACACTTTATGTGCAATCCTAATGTTACACTTTATGTGCAATCCTAATGTTACACTTTATGAGCAATCTTAATTTTACACTTCATGTGCAATTTTTATTTACACTTTATGTACAATCCTAACAAAATCACTTTTACTCTGTACATGAATACTTTGTCTTACTGCGTATATATTACTAGTTCTACATTGTGCTGCTTAAGAAAAATGTAATCAAAGATAAAATTCTGAAATATAAATTATCGAATAAAAAAAAATGTGATCACCTATTGCATAAAATAATTCACAAGATTGCTTATGATCTGATAAAGGATATACATTGTTTTGTTTTGATTTTTACATTGTAGAAAAGTTAAAAGTATCAATCACATGGTACCTATGACAATCTTAGTTTCTGTACCATGTCCCTCACTTGTGATAGTACATATGATATTCTTAGTAGCTGTACCATGTCCCTCTCTTGTGATAGTACCTACGACATTCTTAGTTGCTGTACCATGACCCTCTCTTGTGATAGTAGCTATGACATTATTAGTAAATTTCCTGTTTCTGTCCCCCCTGGGTATCATTTTACTCAAGTGCACTTAATCTTTGAATAAATTCCAAAATAACAGATCCGTAAATTAATCAATAAAACTTTTTTTTAAAGATTGCAATAAATTTTTCTTGTTTTCAGACTACACTAATAAGGGAGAGAAATCAGATTCTGACAGAGAGGACATGGAGGTCACTGTCCAGACACTGACCAAGGAAAATGAGCAGCTACTGGAAGACTACAAGCATCTCATTGAGGAACACGATGCACTCAAATGCGCCCAAGATGACATCAAAGTAAACATTTTCAAGTTTTGGGGAGAAAAATATACATTAATAAACAAAAAGTTTAATCATTTATAAACAAATAGTTTATACATTTATAAAAGAAAAACGAAAACCATTAAAAATTTCTGTTAACATCCGGCCAGAATTTTCATTTCCTTATCTTTTTTTTTTTTTTTTTAATAATAATAAAAATATTTTTACTTTACAAACAAAAAAGAATTTTTTTTTAAATTTCCAATCAGGCTTGAAGTAATCTTTTATGCAGCTTCAGCTATTAAGATTGAACTTCTGACATGATTCAAACATCTGACATGATTCATTCTTTGCTTGAGTTTTAATTGACCCAACCATGTCAATAAGGATATTTTTTGTATAAAAAGATGAATTCTCTCTTAACAAAAAAAAAAAAGGGCGGGGGGGGTGTATGTTATGAAAATGGAAAAAAATATTCACTGATTCTCTTACATTTATTACCCCAATTTGATCCTATAAAGACTTCAAAAATATTTTCACAATAAAACAATGCCCACCACCCACATGCAGTCATCACAACAGATCATTCACACTTTGCTATAATTGACACCTTGATTGTAAACCAGTGACAAGTGAAAAATGTCAAAGAACTTTTGATTTCAACGTTGCCATGCCCATGATTGCCATCTATATAAATCCATAAGCTCATAGCTCTAAAATCAAACCCTTGATCTAGCTTTAAATTCATTCATCTTAGCTGAAGGCAAAAATGTAAAAATTCTTAAATTTGTCAATTCGTTTGAATTCCACTGTAACTTTTTTTTTTATGACGACAGCATGAAAACGAGCACCTGAAAGCAGAGAATGCCAGGCTGGAGCAGCAGTTTCGGAGTTTGAAGAAAGATTTTGACGAGCTACGACAGGTCAAGCTTGAGGCGGCGTCCAGTGATACCAAACCCAGCTACGGGGAGCTTAAGCTGGAGCTGATACAAACAAAACAAGAACTGAACAGAGCCAAAGAGGTTTTGCAAGGTCTGAAAATATCTTTATTTCTAATCTTAAGTGCTCGTTAATGCATACAGGGCACTCAAAAAGGAGGAGGTGGTGAGATAATACATCAAAGAAACATTTAAAAAAAGCTTTTTTTGTGTCCTCTGTGCTTCTGCACTGGATTTATTTGTTAACTTAGGTTTTAAAAACACAATTAATAAATGTTTTCCAAAACAAAACCAAAAAAAGAGGAGGATCTAGCTATTTTAAAACACTATCAATAATTTCATCAGGAAAGTATTGGCTTTTTTTTAAGATGATTCCTCTGTGTTACATCCAAACAGAACACATTTAACAAAGTTCATTTCAGATGCATTTAGGAAATTATTATTATCTATACATCAGGTATGAAGAGTGACCGCAAGAGACTTAAAGGGGAAAAACTGGATCTTCTAAGTCAAATGAAACAACTCTACACAACTTTAGAGGAAAAGGAAACAGAGCTGCGGGACTTCATTCGCAACTATGAGCAAAGGGTGAAAGAGAGTGATGATATGATTAAACAGGTAAGCTCATGTAAATTCAGTGTTGTCTTTTTTTAACAATAAGAATGTTATGGAAATGTAAGCTCCATTTAATTTTAGCCGTCAAAAGGTATATTTTTGTTAAAATTTCAAATTTTATAATAATAATCACATTTTCTACATTTAAATTTTGCATAAACTGTGATCCGAAAAACATTAACATAATTAGTTGTTTAAAGGAGATATATTTTTGGAATAAAAGGACGTAATAAAGAAATGATTTAAGAAGAAATAATGGCCTGCCACATTTTGAGCTTCAAAATCCAATTTTTTCTAAAGTTCTAACAAAATATTTTGTCAATATTTTTAAAATCAATACTCCTCATTAGCATTTTGGCTTTAATTCATATAATTTGTTTTTTTCTTTTTAAAACAAAGTCAAGCTGAGTAAAAAAATGTTTAATGAAGTAGAGGAAGTTGCAAGGAGACTCAATGCATATGAAATGTTTTATTAATGTTCTATCTGTAAAATAATTTACATTTAAGGCTAGGGATAATAGGACAAAGTGTTGTCAAAAAAATCTTGGTAGACTTCATATAATTTGTTGTAGAAAACCCAGACAAGTTTGTAATTCCTAATTTAAAATTTTATTTACTACTCTAAATTTCAAACTCAGCTGGCCAAAGAGAAAGAAGATGTGGAAAATGACAAATGGGAGATAATTACTAAAGCTAAAGATGCAGCAGAGAGAGCAATGTTTCTTAAGACTCAGCTTGACGCCAAAGAACTAACTTTGAGAGAAATAGAGTCACAGCTTAAAGAGGTTTGTATCTCCAATCATTTTATTTTAGGCTTTGTACAGCTATTATAATTTGCCATGAAGATTCAGTTTAATTTATCTAACACCTGCACTTGTCAAAGCAGTTAAAAAATTTAGAATAAATACAACTTGTCAAAACTTTTTTAAAAGTATCAACTAAATCTGTGTCAATAACTGAACTATCTAGTTAACATTAAAATCTCAAACTTTCAACATTTTTTTAAAAACCATTTCTTTGCTCAGTGATTGCATATCTGTAAACTTTCTTAAACAAAATTAATATCTGCATACGTGGATTTTGTTTATTGGAGTTTGTATTTTTATATGTAGTCATCAAAGCAATTACTGAATAATAGCCTGCATTCATAAATGCTGAATTTTTCCTACTTAGAACATTCTAATGCTCTAAAATGGAAGAGATTGTAAGAAATAATTGTTTTTTCTTAAATCTTGGCATAATTACCCTTATTTCCAACATATAAATAAAATATTATTTTATTTAAGCAGGCAGATAAAAAATTTCACAATATATTTGATTAAAGCTTTCTAGGGTTTTTCTAACATTGAGTAACAAGAAAATAATAATATATTAATTTTTTTAGGCACAAGATCAACTTTCTAGTCAAGACAACAACATCTCTTCAACCACAGGGCCGACAGGAAATGGGGAGACAATCATCACTGATATTGATGATGATAACTTTGCACTTGCTGAAGACAATGGATTCTCCACCATGGAAGAATCCTCTGTCCTTAACTGTACCTTCCAAGCTGACCAGGATAATGGAGCACCAAGTAGGCAATTCAATTTTTTTTATCAAATCATAGGAACTGCTACATTGACAGTAAGGCGTATCTAAAATGTCTGAATAGAATAACAATTGTTTATAAAAATACTTATAAGGAATGCATGGACAAATTATATGCATATGTATATATATATATTACAGGATAATATTTGGATAAAAATAACTTGAAAATTTATAACAATCCCATAACACTAGGACTTAATAAGGAATGTTACATTTTTATAGATAAGATATCACACAAAGGTTTGGAAGATACTGGAATTTTTGTCATTCTTAATTCATATTAAATGGAAGCTAAGCAATTCAAACTGGTTTTGCAAGGTGAATTCTAAATATGTCTGAATCTATTCTCCGATTTATTCTTAGTTATTTTGCAATGTTTTGTTTTTGAATATTTCAAAACCATCTATGTCTTAATATACATTTATTGTACCAGAACAAAAAAAATAAATTTTATAACATGTATTAACTCATGGTCATGCAATTAATTTCCCTTAATTATTAGGACTGTAATTATTTTAATTAACTTAAATACATATTTTATAATAATAATAAGGTATAAGTGGGTACCTAATCTACAAAATAAATATACTTCACAATTAATTTGTAAAATGAACATTTATGTGATACAATTTTTTTCTTCACTCACTTTACCTGCTCAGTTCTAAGTACAAGCCCTATAAGCACTGCAGACTCTACAGACACATCCAGTCTAGTCTTCAGGTGGTTCACCCAAAGTACAGATTTTGAGATCCCTCTGGAGTCAAAACCTAGTAAGAAGAAAAAGAAAAGTTTCGGATCACTTTCGCGAGTTTTCAGCAAAGGAAGAATGAGACGATCAATAGCTGTTCCTCATGCTGACAGTTTAATTTCAGATGGTATGTTATTTATTATAATTGTTATGAAATTAAAAGAAATAAAATATACTAACAATTTGGTTGCAAGGAATTTGAATCCAATTTCTTTTTAAATACTTATAATACATTTTGTAATTATATTAAACATAAGAATTCTAGAATATCATTTTGATTTGCTTTCAAATTGTTTTAGTATCATTTCTCTGCTCATGTATAATTTTACCTGCAGAGCATAATATTTTTAATTAAATAAACTACTGAAAATTAATAGTTGAATATTGATTTCATATCTTATGGCCTAAGAAAATGATAAAACATCAGGTTTGACTAGATAAAACAAATTCATAAAGCAAATTCTTTTTGCAAACAAGTTAATTTTTTTAAAATTCTCCCATTTTCATAGATACTTGCCCTAAGCTCTGCGTATTAAGCCAGGACAACTACCAGGAGAAACTGAACACCATAGAAAAAATGGTGGGTGTCCACATGAAGGAATGGAGGGCACACCAGGTCTTGGCCTGGTTGGAAATCACTCTGGCTATGCCCATGTATGCACAAAACTGCCTTTCTAATGTAAAAAGTGGAAGGGTAAGACAAACTCTTAATTTATGTCTACTATATAAAAGAGAATCCAGTAAGTTTAAGTCCAAAAACTGCATGTGCAAAAAAAAAAACAGAAATGAAAAGAAAAACTTACTGAAAGGTGGTTATCCCTAATAGTCATATGATCAGCTATTTTTCCATTAAAAAAATCATTACCCAAATTTCTTTAGTTTTCCTCAAATATTTCACTTATATTATTACCCAAACTGTATCCATAGATTCTCCTTGGCTTAAGTGACAGTGAATTGAGTGCAGCATTGGGAGTCACCAACACAATGCACAGAAGGAAGCTTCGATTGGCCATTGAACAACACAGAAATCCAAATGAAATGTAAATAAATAATTTAAAATTATCACTTTTATACAGATATTAACCTAAATAACTAGTCTTATTAAATTTACACAAATGCACTTTGTAACAATGTTGTCCTAAAAATGTACATTTAAACCTGGATTCTACACTAGTTTTTTTTGTTTCATTTCTGATTATGGTATTATTATTATTATTATTAAAGCATTTTTGTAAAGCGCTTACCTTACAGCTCTAAGCGCTTTACAATTATTAAAAATATGTAAACTATTTAAACTGCTAAAGTAAAAGAAAAATGAAAAACCAGAGACACTAGAATAGTAACTGCAATGTGAAAAATTACTATAAAAACAGTAGCTAAAACATTAAAATGGCTATAAAAACAACTACACTTTCGCACGTTTTGGCATATTCTTTGGAAAAAAAAACATAAATACAGGATCAACCCAAGACAGAAAATGAGGCAGGGCAAGGAGGGTGCATCACAGGTCATAGGCGGACCTAAACAGATTGTTTTTAAGGGACTTTTTGAAAGTGGACGAGGTTTCACAATGAGGGATGTGGAAGGGGAGCTGGTTCCAGAATGTGGGCGCATGGAAGTAGACGGAGCGTTCACCGGTGGTCTTAATTTTGGTTATTGGGATTGAGAGGGTTCTATTGTCAGTTGAAGAGTGAAGTTGTCTTGTGGGGATGTAAGGAAGCAACAGTTCAGAGAGATGGACAGGAAAGTGAGGGTCAGCGAAAGAGTTGAAGCATAGATTGGGATACATTTACTTTATCTATTTCCAGCAAATTCTTAAAGGCAAGTGAAATGGATCCCACCTGGATTGCCCACAGGCTTCTGCCAGACCTTGGTCTCCCCCAGTACACTGATATATTTGAGGAGCAACTTTGTGATGGCCATGTATTAAACACATTAACCAGGAGAGATCTTGAGAAACATTTTTCAGTTCACAGAAAGTTTCACCAGTCTTCCATTCTTCATGCCATTGAACTACTTAGGCGGATCGACTTCAATAAAGAGGTTTGCAGAATTGTTTGACAGTGAAATATTCATACTTCCAGAGCTTTACAGAAATTGATGAAGTGGCCCTGACATAAGATATATTTTAGGCCCTCAAAAGATTTTCAAAGGGAAAAATAGTTTTTAATTGTTTAATTTTTATTTCTCTCAAAATATTGCATTCAAAATAAACAATTTCATTCATTAGGGATCATTTTTATATTTTGAAATTTAGAATGTTATCTACAGCTGATCTTTTAAAAGTTAAGTGTCCCAATGCAGACATGAGGCCTCCATGGAAATAAGACCTAGGCCAAATGACATAACTGATTCCCAGCATTCAGATGAAAATTCAAGTTACTTCTTTAACAATACTAAAAGGAATTTGCCATCAATTTCTTGAATACTACATGTCACATAACTCATGAATTGTTTGAATGCCGCTATATGCTGTGTTTTATTTCCTTTTGTAAAATTTTATATTCAGAAATTATACCATCGCCGAAATCAGTGTGAGGACAAAGATGTTGATTTAATTGTATGGACAAATGAAAGGCTGATGAAGTGGACAAGAACTATTGATTTGGGAGTAAGTTAATCTACTTGCAAAATAAAAGCTATGAGTTTTAATGTTGAGTATTTTATTAGTCCATTAAGGAAAAAAAAAAAAATTTTTTTAAATATTTAAATGTCAAGATTTGAAATTTAATCTTACATTGTTTGTTGCAACTTTTTTTTTCTTCCATAAATGAAAATATATCTATGGCTAAATTGTTTGTTTTAAGATAAATGTTGATATAATTGAAAGACAATCGTGAACTATTTTTGGTCTATAGTGTTTATATCTGGTAATTGATGTAAAACAATTATTACAGGAGTATAGTGAGACATTGGTAGAGAGTGGAGTGCATGGAGCACTGATGGTTCTTGAACCTTCCTTTAATGCCGACACACTGGCATCTATTCTTGGAATTCCACCTTCTAAATCATATATCAGAAGACACTTGGCTTCAGAATTAGAAAACATACTGAAACCAGCAAGGTATGACACTACTTATAATATCTCTTCTTTTTCATTAACTTGGACAATTTTCTTAGATATTTTTAATCTAAGTATCTGGTGATTGCTACAATTAGATGTACTTATGTTACCTTTTTGATTTGTCCTCCTATATCTGTTTTGAGTGCACCAAGATTATTCATTAATTGATATAGTCATTTCTTGCTGTTTTGAGACTTAATAAGGTTTTTTTCAGTGCATGAAGATAAACGGATGCCAACAATTCAGTGCATCTCAATGTTTATTTAAATCAAAAATAAATTTATGAATTTGTCTTTTTAGTTGTAAAAAATTTCCTCATTACATTAAAACTATATATAAAATTACAATACAATGTGCTTTTCTTCTTTAATAATTTCTCTATTTTGTATTTATGCAGACCTAGTTGTTAAATACAGTTTTATATAAAAGTGACTTTTCTTGTAAAAACAGAAATTTTTTAATGTCATAGATGTTTGAAATTATCTGTTATGAATGTAGGCCTATCTTCTAAACATAAATGTTTTCAGGTCTTACCAAAAAGGAATGAAAATTTTGAGGTACACCAGACAGTGTTATCCCCCCTTTCATTTTCTTTCACTTCATTTTCACAAATTCATTATCAAAAAAGATTTTGACGACTTTTGAAATGTTCATCATAGATGCAATTAATTTTTTTTTAATAATAATGCTCAATTTGCATATCTTTTAGCCAAGAATTAAAAATTGTTATGATTATTTTCCTTTTAAAATGTGCTCGATAAAATATAATTACAATTAACTATTAACAAATCGGGAACCACATATCCCACACAGTCAACATGTATAATAGATTTCAAAGTTTAACAACCCTGATATCAAGGTATATTTAATTTTCCCACTGAGCAGTCTAATTATGTTTCCACTTTATCTTGACTTATTCAATTTTGTAATTTTTTTTTTTTTTAATATTCTCTACAACATTGATTTCTCATATTATTCTTGCACTGATTTTCTAGTTTTATCCTCACTATGTTTGAATCCTAAAGATATTTTATGTCGTAATGTGACAGTCTTAGATATTATTATCTTTCTGGTAAAAATCACAAGTTGTAGTATAGTTTATATTCCATTTTGAACCAAATTCCACCAATATTTAATCTTGAACCAAATTCCTCCAGTTTCTGTTGTTCATGATTTGTTTTTAAGTCTTTGCAAACATATTTTATTTGCTTACCATTATTTTTTGAGTGTTCATAATTAATTATTTATGATTTTGATGATTTTAAATTTCAATTTTAAATTTCCTTTTCTCAGGATTTTCTTGTATTAAACAAACTCTTGCCAACGTTAACAAAAAAATTTTTATCTGAAGTCCTCACTGATTATTGATAATTTTATTGAAAAAAAAAAAAAGTTCATAAATATTTTTAAAAAATTTTTAAATTGTTAATTCTTTTAAATTAAAACTGTGGTGGGGCTTTTTCTGTTACATTTATGACTTTTTGAGTGTAAGTATATGCATTTAAATTAAATTTATATCATTTTTTGGATTTTAAACAAATGAACTTTTATAGGCACAAGGTTTCTGTTATTTTTATCTAGCATTAAATATTTGATATGTATAATTATAAGAATTTATTTTTAAATTCTGCCATATTGATTTGAAAGAAAAAATTTCCCAGGAATTCACGTAAGTTAAATTTTGTTTATTTTGTTCATTTCTTCCATTCAGAGCTGCCCTAGACACAGCAGAAGGGAAGGGAGGTGACAACAATTCCAACAAACACAGTTCTATCAGAAGTCGCAAAGGTTCTCAGGACAAAAGTCTCCGTGTTGTTGAGGACAAAGGTCGCAGGAAGTCAGCAGAGGAAGGAAGGTCGAGACTGAGTTTTAGGGTTTGTGAGAAATTTGACATTAAGTCTGGTGGAGGTGTTTCCTTATATTTATTTCTCACAATCTCTTTATGCATGCTATATAAACACCAGACATGTCAACCTTGAAAAAAAAAGGTGGGGGGAGTAGCAAATTTTGGGGGGAAAGGAGGAGGAAGAAATTTTTTAGGTAACTAAACTAAAATTTAAGAAATCTTAAATGTTATATTCATAGGTAATTCGTGACCTATGGAGTATTGCTATTATAAAGTTTTGTTGTCTTATTCATGAAATAACCAATGCAATAGACTTATTAACATTAAGACATTGGTTGCATCTACTTTCTTGTGCAATTTATTTTTAAAAAGCTTTTAAAAAAACTAACCATTACTTGTGATGCTTTGGATACACAAAGGGCAATAAACTTTGGAACTTGTGGGGCATGACTTGTCTGAAGGCTTTGGTAATCTGGTGAAGCATTAGCATGCATTTGTTCTTTCTTTAAAATTTCTTACGCTCAGTGTTCTTTTATCCTTGTTTTTATTTTGCTCAGTGTTATTTTATCCTTGTTTTTATTTTGTAATTCTTAACACCTCAAAGAAATGAATTGTTTGTTGTTGTTTTTTGTTATTTTCCTAACATTTTAACATGTCTGAAAAAATTCTTTAAATTTTCAATTAATACTTATGAAGAATTTTTATTAAGTATGTAACTCATACATTGCAGTATTTCAGGTTGTATTTGTTCTTTATTTAATATAAAGCTTTGCTAGCATGCCTCTTTGCCTTAATTTCTCTTATGTTTTTGTTGTTTTCATGTTAATAACCTCAACGTCTCAATTTCTATTCATGCTTACAATTCAATATCTCATAAGAGTGAAATAGTTAGACCAATTTGAAAGCAAATTTATTAATATTTAATAATTTTAAATGATAATTTTTCTCCTCTGTAGTTTTACTAATGCTTTAATTGATATTTGTTCGACTGTGGTTTTACTAATGCTTTATTACACTTTCCTCAATCTATTGCCTTACGGCCTTTCAAGAAGCTGTATTAGGTCCTTACAGACATATAAAATATATATGATTTCAAATTAGCCAATACTTTTTTTATTAATTTTGACAATTTAGGAATATTTCCTATTTACAAATGTTGTATTTTAAGCTAAAGTTTTGATGACCTATGCTCTAAGAATGATGATCTAACAAATTTTAATTGTGCATGAACAATAATTTATTCACTCTTTGAAACAAATATGCCTACTGAACAAAAAAGCAGAACTGTTATCATAATTTTGCAAGTGATAGTGTATTAACATGAAGTTATTAAAATTTACCTAACATTTATTATCAATAAATTCATATAAATAACTAATAATTATCAAACATACCCAAACCAATCTTTAACATATAATGTGAAACAATCTTTTTTTTTTTTAAATAACAGTCAGAACAAAATTAAAAAAGGATGTAATTAAAGAAGAATAGGATTTCTTTTAAAAGTTTGAAGATGGTTGGTCAGAACAAGCACATCTAAGTCACTAAACTATATTAAAAAAACTATTTGAATTATTAGAATAAAAAAAGACAATAATTTGGATCTTAGACTCTAAAATATCACTAGAGTGAATGAGTTAACAATAAAAAGTCCTAAAAAGCATGAGCTAAAATAACCATCTAACAAAAGTTTTTAACTTGTCACGTCATGTCTACTGTACCAGAACAAAATTGTTTTCATAAAAGTTTTTTTTTTTATTTCAGGGCTCTCTTGGCAGAGCTTTTGGGAAGAAAGTACGAGATGACTTAAAGACAAATTTCGAATCAGACACAACTCGAATGAAGATTTCTGGCCCAATCCCCATTCAACATTCAAGTCTTTCGTCCTTAGACAATGATTCCGAGTTAGTTAAAAAGGGGTTTTGTGTCAAAGATCCCAAAAAAGATATTTATAACTGTCGACCGATCAAAGACCCAAAGATTAATGGACTTCTTGATCAAGACCTCAGGAGGTTATGTTTGACGAGGTCCGATCAGGGTTTGAACAGAAGTCTAGATTTAGGTATTTTTAACATTAATACTAAGGAAGCTGAAAGACTAAAAGAAAATAAAAACAAAAGCCAGGATTTGGGAGCATTAATTTCAGAAGGCAAAGTTAAAGAAAAAAAAGATTTTGATAAATCTTGCCAGGACATTATTAAAGAAGGTGTTTTAATTATGTCAGATGGAGCAGAAAATGGGAAATCTTCAGTCGGTTCATCACAAGAAACTCTCACAGAACAATCAGATACAAAGGAAAAGAATAACAACAATAAACCTCCTTTACAAAGTAGGGTGATATCTCACCAGTCAATGCCTGAGATATCCAAAAAGCCTCCAGATGGTACTTCTCAGGCTTCTCCCAAACAAGGGTTGATTTCCAAAGCTCTGAACAGATCTTCGGCTACAGTCAAACCTTCTGTAAAAATTTCAGGAACCAACCACTTTAAAAGACACAGCAGTTGGGTTGGGGAGAATAGATCTGGGCAGCAAACAATGGTAGGTCTTCAGCCACCAGAGGAGCAGTCAAAGAGACACAGCAGTGGGATCATGGAGCAGGTAATGAATAAAGATCACCTTCAAGAATCTATGAGCACTGGAATGATAGATGGGAAGGGTGGACTCAAATTAAGGGGATCTCTCCAAGGCCTTTTCCCACAGACTACATCTGTGTAGCTGGCAGAGAAAGACAGTTCATTTTCTAAAGCATTTCAACCCAATGATTTTTTTTTTCGAATGTATATATTTTGTGCCATAGATTTTAGTTAAGTTAATTAGCTTTTTCTTTAATGTTATTTTGTTCTTATCTATTTTAGTTTCTAGTATCACAGATAACTAAGAAGCATTTTCCTTGGTAAAAAGATTAAAATATCAATAACATTCAAAAGGCAAACAAACTTCATCCTCTATCCCCCCCACCCACCCACCCCCCACCCCCCTTTCTCTCTTTTTCCTTTCGTTTCTGCCAAAATCACAAAATTAAGAACAGAAAGCAATACGTGATGATTCATTATAAGAGTTGTTGTATCCAGATTTAAATGGAAGTAGTTCATAATAATTATCAAATAAAATTCACTATATGCAATTATAGGACTAATCCCTGTGGCTGTGAATGATATTGTGATTTGAAGTTTCCATCTCAGATTAATAATTTTTAAATGATTTTAGTTTTTTTTTTTTTTTAAATTATAAAATTCTACATCTGTAAAAACTATTTCTCTGAGCATATTTTTACAGTACCATGTAGTTATTGCTGTCATTACTATGAAATAAATTTAAGTTAAGACATGCTTTTATAACTGGTTTTTTAATTTTTGGGGGAAATATAGATGTGTATGTTTTCAATACCTGGCTGGACCAAATTACATTTAATAAATGACTTCTGATAACCTAACATAATATGTAAATATTGTACACACAGCTTATGGTGCTCATATTTATATATTTAATGCATTTTGTTGTGACCAGTCAATATAAATAGAGTTGAGACAACAGCTCACTGTTATAATAGAGTTGAGACAACAGCTCACTGTTATGTTTTAGAAATAATTGAATTTAGAACAATAATTTCAAATACTTTTATTGACAAAAAGAAATTTAAAACATTTGTTTTAGATGAAGAACAAATCTATGTTAGGGTTGAGAGAGCTTACTGATTCAATTTTTGTTTTAAACTATGATTAAAAAGCAGTATCCATTTTTTTAAAAATCAGGATACAAACATTTTGAATAACTTTGAAACATAAATAACTCAAAAGATATGTTGTATATTAACTTTTTTTTTGTGTTGTAAATAGCTAGTGGAAATAGGTGTTACCTTGTCCTCACTATTGAGAATGAACATATATATGAGAAGTTTATAACGCTGTAAATTTGACATTTATTTAGTGTAACAATGACCAGAGCAGTATTTGAAATATAATGTATCATTTTGAAATGGGAAGTCACAAGTTGATAGAAAAGTGAACATATAATATTTGTGTATTTTGCCACTGTATCTCAAAATGTGTGTAAGAATTTACAAGATACTACAACATACAAGATCCTTTTTTTTTCACATAAATTTTAATACATTTTTATAATTTAAATAAATAATAACTATTAGCACCGATATTTTAAAAGCAATTAGCAAATTGTGTTTTGAAAAATTATGTTTATTAAATGAGAAGTAGAATGCAAAACCTGTTACTCTTTATTAATTCAGGTGTTGAGAATATTCACTAATTGTTATTTTTCTAATCTTTTAAGAGCTTAGTCAAATAAAGACAAAAGAACAAAGTTTCTAGCAAAATTCACTTGGAAGAATTGACACAAAATGCATTGCTACCACATATTCTCATAATAGCCTATAATTTTAAAAATCTAATTTATTGCATTATTTTTTAAATTAAAAATCTTAGGACCCTAATAATATAAAGAAAGGCAGCTATTTTCAAAATAAAAACTGAATCTTTTTCTCTTTTCTGTATGTAGCGTAGAGTATTATTATTGTATATCTTAAATTAATCTCTTTTTGTAAATGTATTCACATTATATACAATTTTATCTGTATTCTGTTTTAAACTGAAACAAATTTATAAAGCCCTTTCACAAGATCTCCCCCACCAATTGTAGAAAATGTGATTTCAAGAATTTCTATGCAGTTTTTCTTGGCTGGTACATGTTGTACAATGCTCACCAAAAATGTGCAATGAGCGCTCTTTTCTCCCTCAAGCCCTATGTTGTTAGGCCATGTCTGTATGTGTATGTTTTGAAGGATGAACACTAAAGTCACAAAAATATGGGCATAAGACTTATACGCTTAATATAAATAATATATAGAAATATAACTGGAAATATATCTATGAAGTTTAGTTCATAAATGATTACAATTCTTTGCCATGATCAAGAATAGGCCAATAATACAATTCATAAACCAGTAACAAAGTCATTCTTCAAATTTATTTTTAAAAGTTTTTAATTTGAAACTTGTCATTTATTTCTATTTGGTTTTCAAAGAAAAATATTTTGTTAAGATTTTAAATAGAATTTAGAGAGACAGAGATCTGATGAAATACATATCTATAACATAACTAATACAAATATATTAATAGCAATTTAATTTCTTCAAATATAAATTAATCTTAGCTGGACAGTGCAACTCTCACTTTTTAGTTTATACATTTTTAAATGGAATATCTAAAACACTATTTTTGAGGGGAAAATATTGAACTTCATAAGACAGTGCACAAGATATTTAAATGTACACTTTAATTTAACTACTGTCTTCAAATCAAAATGCCTATTTTATTACCAAACTAACATTGAGATCATAATTAGATAGCCATACAAAAGGGATTGGAAATGCTCTTTAATTTTTTAATAACTGGTACTGTTTACCAACTTTACTACATCTTTTCTGTTTTTAAAATGTTTGCACCGTCTGTTTTATTATAGCCTTAAGATCTGGTACCCATTTATGGCCTTTTTTTAAAATTTTGATTTCTCCTAACTCACAGTATTATCTCTTCTATTTCAATCCCATGAATATTATAATACAACTTAATGAATGCTTGGCCAAGTCCAATTTTATTACCCATTATTTACAAATTGTTTAGCAAAGTGTTTTTGTGTTTTTAATTTTTCAATTATAATATTTTGGCTTTGATGTAAAAAAAAAATATTTTAGACCTTGCATGGGGTCAGAATGAAGATAAATTCATGACCTCTATGTAAGGTTAGACTGTGTTCTCCTTTACTGCAATTTTATTTTAGTTTTGTGGAAATCACTGTATGAGAATATTACTGTAAATAGACAAATGTACACTGAACATATATTTTGTCGCAATTAAAAAAAAAGAAGTATTAAAATTAAGCCCTTTGTTGCTTTTATGATGAAATGCACATGAATAAAACAAGCATGGCCAACTACTTTATGTAAGACTACATTTTTCTTTGCAGGCATAATAAGACAAAAGATAGGATATAACAAATAACTTTTTTTTAAATTTGTCCAACAATTTTATATGAAATAAATATGGTAGCAACTATTGAAGTAATAGATGTTCACTGCATAAAATTATTTACACTTTTACAATTGAAACTTAGGTTGCCAAAATAGACCAAAAAAGAAATAATATCCTTGAAATATTTTTAAAAATTCCAGTTTAAAATTTTAAATATACATTACAACTTTATTTTTAGTTTATGTATTAGAGAACTACATTTGAAACCCTAAAACACCAATATTAAGAGAGTATTTAAGTAACCCATATTTATTATAAATAAATAAAAATGTATTTATTTTTTATTCAAATTTAACATGAACAAATTACTTACAAACCAGACATGCACAAAATAAAACATTCATTTCATAACAAAATTTCTTCTTCTATATGAGGACCCACGAACAATTTATCTTGTATTTATAATAAGTTTTTATAGCCAGCAGAGTTAAAAGTCTATTGCCATTTATGATTAAGGTGGCATCTTTTTAAGAAGTGTATTTTAAGAAAAGTTGCCTTTTAAAGTTATTTTTAATGTTGCATAGCGCTTTATGTAAATTAATGTGAAATCCTATGCAACTGATGAAGCAAAAATCTTAATTAAATTAAGACAAAATAATTATGACCCAAATGACGAGCTTGTATAACTGCTATTAAGAGATTTTAAACCATTACATTATTTACATCAAACTAATTTTCTTCATTCCATAAATAGAGATTTAATTTAAATTTATGTCTTTCCCAGTTAGAATCCGTCAGTAAATTTTATTCTGGTCAATTTTTTTTTAAACAAAGTTTGATATTCACATACTATCATCTTTACTTTGTAACCATTACGAGTAATTTTATTATTTTATTGTGACTATGATAACAAATAAAAATTACTGTAAGTATTGTAGAGTAGCATCTCAAAATACCACTTAATTTTATATGAGTAAAATTGATATTTAAAGATAAACACAATGTCATGCTATAACTTTTACTTTAAAGAAGTTTTCTTTATTGTCCGGATTAGAGGAATCTTTTTTTTTTTTTTCTTTTTTTTTTTTTTTTTTTTAATAATAATAAAAATATTTTTACGTTACAAACAAACAAGAATTTTTTTTTAAATTTCCAATCAGGCTTGAAGTAATCTTTTATGCAGCTTCAGCTATTAAGATTGAACATCTGACATGATTCATTCTTTGCTTGAGTTTTAATTGACCCAGCCATGTCAATAAGGATATTTTTTGTATAAAAAGATGAATTCTCTCTTAACAAAAAAAAAAAAGGGCGGAGGGAGTGTATGTTATGAAAATTGAAAAAAATATACACTAATACTCTTACATTTATTAATTTTTTTTTTTTTTTCTTTTTTTTTTTTTTCTTTTTGCAGCAGGTTAAAATTATAGCAGCAATAAAATGCATGAATGAAAAAGGTCAGGTGAAATGATGGAATGATTTGAAAGGCAGTGTATATTTTCTAAGACATTATCAAAGGCTTAAGTCATAACATTTCCTCTTTATCAGAGATGAATAAAATAAATAAACTGCAGTCATGTGTTAGAAATTTTCATTAGATCTTAGCAAAATTATTCCCTTTTTTATAAAAATAATTAATAGTAATTTGTATTTTTACAAAGATAGTTTATATCTTTCACACAATCAGACATAACTCTTAGAAATATGACACATTATGTCCTATACACATTGGAGACAGTCAATTTCAAACAATAATTATATTAATTCTTTATACATGAAAATTAAAATTATCACTGCATAAAACTCATATTTTTATCATCAATGACAGATTAATAACCTATTGAGGTGAGTGAAATTTCTCACTCATGTATATAAAAAATCATTTAGAACCCAGCAAAGCCAGCATGAACACAGAGCAACTAGTCTTCTTGACTTTCAACAAGCGGAAACTTTCATTTCAATAAA